AATGACAGATTCATGACAGTGCAACTGCCACTTGCAGGAAAGTCTATTCCACGATCATCAGTGTGTATGCTCCCACTGGACAAACCCTGATGAGGTCAAAGAAAAATTTTATGAAGACCTGGAGACCCTCATCATCAATGCACCAAGAGAGGACAAGCTTATAATTCTGGGTAACTTTGATACCAGAGTAAGCTAAGACTATAAGACATGGCAGGAAGTCCTTAGGAGGCATGGAGTCTGAAAGAGCAGAAGCATTTAATAGACCATGTCATTGTAAGGAGAAGAGACAGGATGTAAGAGTGATAAAGGTGATGTATGGACTGATTACAGACTTATCCTCTCCAAGCTTAATATCCACATTCAACAAAAGCAGTAGTCCCAAGGCAAGATGACTACCAGAAGACTTAAATGTCAACAGATTAGAGCACTTCTCTGAGCGTGAACAGTTTGTCGTTCTTGGAGGGAAAGGTGAGCCAATACACAGTTGGCAACAGTGGGGCAGAAAAGGAGTGGGCCAGTTCCAGACGTTTGGTGCACAGCACCACATTTACTCATCTAGGCCAGAATAATGAGAAACATCAAGATTGGTGTGACGAAAATAATGGGTAAATCCAGAAGCTGCTAAATGAAAAATGAAAACTCCACAGGGTTTACCAACAGGTCTGTGTCTAAGAAGGCAGTGTTTAACTCCACCAAAAGTAAAATGCAAGTGAAACCTAGAGAGATGCAGGATTCTTGGCTCAGTAAGAAGACAGATGAAATTCAGTTTTATATTGAGAGTAACGATTCAAAATGCTTTTATGATGCCCTGAAGGCTATTTATGGGCCAAAGACATATGGCTTATCCCAACTACTCAGGGCTAATGAGTCACACTGATTAATGATAAAGACATGATCCTGGAGAGATGAGCTGACCATTTCCATAGTGTTCTCAAGAGACCATCATCAATCAATGTCAAAGCCACTGACCATTTACCTCAGGTTGAAGTCAATCCCTCTTTCACCAAACTTCCAACTGAAGAAAAGGTTTTGAATGTCATTTGGCTCCTCTAGTATGGCAAAATACGTGGTGCTGATTTCATCCCAGCTGAGATTTACAAGACAAGGTTACATGGCAAGAAGAAGTTATCCCCCAGGAGTTCAAGGATACCTCCATTGTCTATTCTATAAAAGAAAGGGAAATAGGTTGTCCTGTGACAATCACAGACCCTCCCTCTCTCAGTCATTGCTGGCAAGATTCCTGCCAGAGTCCTCCTTAATAGGTTGATCCTTCACCTGGAAGATGGTCATCTACCTGAGAGCCAGTGTGGCTTCAGAAAGGGCTGAGGAATGGTTGCTATGTTTGATGTTTGCTGCTCAACAACTTAAGAAGAGATGCCAGGAGCAGAACAGACATTCATAGATCTAATGAAGGCCTTTGACACTGTCAGTCATGAGGGCTTATGGAAAATTATGTCAAAATTTGGTTGCCTGGAGAAGTTCACCAATATTGTAATTCAATTTCATGACAGCACACCTGCTTGGGTTCTGGATGATGGACAATGCTCTTGCACTTTCTCAACTTGCTGCCATGCTTTTTAGCATGACATTTTCTGGGATGTTGTCAAATGCTTCAATGAGGATGAAAATGGCATCAAGGTCAGCTACTGCACTCATGGTAAATTATTTAACTTGAAAAGGCTACAAATCAAGACTGAAGTAGAGGGAGAGTTAGTGCATGAATTTTTGTTTGCAGATGATTATGCTCTCAATGTTGCCTCTGGGGCTGAGATGCAACAAAGTATAGATCAGTTCTCTGTTGTTTGTGCTAATTTTGGCCTAACACCAAGAAAACAGCCAGCCCCACACCATCCAGACATGGTACCATCAGTTATAGCAAATGGGGAAATTTTGAATGCTGTGGATAAGTTCACTTCCTGTCACAGTATATTTTCCAGGGATGTACACATAGATGATGAGGTTAATGCATGCATTGCCAGACCTAGCTCAGTGTTTGGGAGGCTCTTAAAAGGGAAAGTGTGGGAGTGAAAAGATATATGACTGCCTACCAAATTGAAGGTCTACAGAGCTGTTGCGTTGACTTCATTGTTACGTGGCTCTGAAACCTAGACAGTATAACAACATTGCAGGAAACTGAATCACTTCCATTTGAATTGTCTTAGGAAGATTCTGAAGATCACCTGGCAAGATAAGGTACCAGACACTGGGGTCCTTGTTTGAGCTGAACTGCCAAACATTCAAACTCTCCTGGAGAAAGGGCAACTCAGACGGACTGGCCCTGTTGCTCAAATGCCAAATGTATGTTTGCCTAAAAGACTTTTATGGAAAAATCACACTGGGCAAGTGCTCATGTGAAGGTTAGAAAAAGTGATAGAAGAATGTTCTCAGCATCTCAACTTTGGAATCAATTGTGAGGCATGGGAGACATTGGCTCAGAACTAACTGCCCAGCATGGTGTGCCCACATCAAAGAAGGTGCTGTGCTCTAAGGATTAAGCAGAATTGCAGTAGCTCAAAAGAATGAGACGCATATATTTAGAGATATCTGCACTCCAAATGTTCATATGGACTGTTTGTGCCTGAACTGTGGAAGAGCTTTCTGACCTCATATTGGTCTGATTAGCCACAGTCGGACATACCATACCTTGACCCCAACATAATAATACCATTTTGGTAAAGCCTCAAAGGAAACCACAACTTGGTCACTGAGTCAACTAACATTCATTCTAATAGGAGAAGAAATAAGTATACTCTCAAACCCTAAAATGCCATCGTTGACTCTTCATTCTTCATTTTCTGTATTTGGTCATTTGCCATATCTTGTTGATTGTCCCTTGGCAATATTTCTCTCATCCACTCCTTTTTCTCTATACGCATAGCCACCACTCTAGTTCAAGATCTCATCACCCTTCATCAGGACTATTTCATTAGCTTCCTAATTGATCTTGAGGAGCACAAGGAGAAATAAAGTAGTTCCTGTCTTGCTCAACAAATTACCCTATGTCAAACTGTAGACCTAAGTTCCTCTTATGAAATCCTCCTGCTTCCCTTGAATTGCTTAACACTCATTTCTCAACTTCCCAAAGAAAGTAGAAGGGCCTCTTCTACTTCTTTGCCTATATTGGTGTTCTAAAGTTGGGGGGGGGGGGAATGCTGCATATCTATATCCCCTAAGGCTGTAATATCCTGTGTATCTGTAACTTTTTGTTCAGCTGTAGTTGCTGCCCCCTGCTTTCATATCTCTCCTCTCCAATTCATTCCTAACACAGCTAGCACAGTTTTATTCTTAATGCACAGGTCTGATCATTTTACTTCTCTGCTCAAAAAAGCTCTTGTGCTCACTATTTACCTCTAAGATCAAATACAAACTCCTCAGATTAGCATTCAAAGCCCTTCACAATCTAACTCCAGTATACCTTAGAGGGCTGCTTTTCACACACTCTAGGTTCCAGTCTAACTGGCCTACTTCTTGTTTCTCCTACACTGTAGTTTATCTCCAAGACTTTGCAAAGACTGTCCCCTAGGCCTGAAATGCACTTCATTCCCACCTCCAACTCTTAGAATCAAAGCTCAGCTCAAGTACTACCTCCATTTTGTTCATCACCTCCAAGCCCCTAATGTCTTCCTTCCCCTATTATTTGTGTTTGCTTTGTAATGGATTAAAACAAAGGCAGAGACAATTTTTGTTTTTGCAGCCCCAGCACCTAAATGTTTAATAGATACCTACAAGATTTGCATTTTTCTGAACACCTTCACATAAAGGCTTCGATAAAGTAGGGGCCACAGAAGCAGCTACAATTAGGGCTTTGTTTCCATTGTGACTCAGAGAAAAAGATCCTATACCAGGGAGAGTAAGTGAGAATTCCCCACTGAACTTTGCACAATCAAGTTCTATTGTTCCTGTTGGAGCTGCGCACATGCACACTAAGTTTTGTCCCGGGTACAGCTACACATACACATATATGGCATACACACAGAAAAGTTCTATTGGTCCAGTTGGAGTTGCACACACACTTTTATCCACACCACACACAGTTCTATTTCCCAGTTGGAGCCCTCCTCGTGCGCGCGCACACACCCACACCCACACCCCTACTGTCCCAGTTGGAATTGCACACACATTCATCCACACTACATAGTTCTATTTCCCAGTTGGAGCCCTGCTCGAACACACATGCCCCCTCTACATACATACACAGATAAATACACACACACCCCCCTATTGTCGCAGTTGGAGCTGCGCACACATACAACGCACACAAAAGTTTACTGTCCAAGTGTGAACCCGAGCACCAACACACACACACGCACACACACGCGCACACACACACGTCATCATCTCTTATTGGCTGGATGCCCAAAAACGTCTCGGCACGTCTCCCTGCCATTGGCTCGGCGCCTCCCCGCACCCTCACCTCGGGGGTGGGCGGGACGAGTGCGGCTGCAGGATCAGGAGAAGAGCCAGCACGCTTCTTTCTCCCCGGAGGTCCCTCTGTGTGATGAGCGCTGTCTGCGTGCGCTCGCCGGCCGCCTCCGCACGGAGGGAGACTTAGCTTCTGGAGGAGACTGAGGGCTATCGCTCGGGCGGCTGCGGCGACGTCACGGGTCCGCGTGGTACGTTGGGGCTCCGCGGAGGCGCGGCGCCTCGCGGGCGGCCGTTTAGAACGGCGAGTTCGGAGCGTTGGCCGGTGGTTGGCCGGCCCCGGCCGCGGGCACATTTAGCCTCCCGCGGGGCGTTCGGAGGCCTGCGTTCGGAGGGAGCGGGCGGGCGTCCCGGCGCGCGCTGTCCCGTCCCGTCCGGTCTCTTGAGTCCTCCGAGCATTTCCATCGACTGAGGGTGCTCGGGGAGTCGGGAAAATCTCCGGCACTGGCGGAAATACACGTTGGAAGGGAGAAAGGGGATGGCCGGGTGCGCTCCCTCGCCGTTTGTGACCCTCGGACGAGCCGAAAGCGGGCGGACGGCCGAGCGTCCTGGGCACGCCGGGGCCCAGACTTTGAGTAGCCGTTCTCGGTAGGGGGCAGGCTCCCCAGTGCCTCCCCCTCCCTCCGCCCCAGCTCTGGGCTCAGACCTCGGAGCAAAAACAGGTGTGTGGGTTCATCCCTGCTCAGCCTCGCGCGGGGCAGCCGTGCATCTCGAGCTGTTGAAACTGATTTAATTAACCCCCCCAACCGTGAGTGCTCCGCAAGTCGGGGCTCCCCGTGGCCGCGGAGGGAGGGAAGGAAAGGGGGACAACCTGTCGTTTGTAAAAGTGGTGACAAGTAAAATGTTGAACTTTTCAAGAACGTCTCTTTTTCTTAGGTAAAATGGACCCCCGTGCCTTTTTCCCGAGAATGCTTTCAAAACAGCTGTCCTGAAATTTTAGGACCTTGCTGTCTGAAGAAGGCAGGGTCCTGATTTCAGAGTTGGAAGGGACCTCAGTGACCATCTAATCCAACCATCTAGTACCTGACAAAGAATCCACCACATTCCCAAACAATCAGTTATTCAGCCTTTACTCGTAGACCTCCATTGAGGGGGAGCCCAGTTTTCTTCAGGGCAGCCCGTTTCACTTTGGAAAGTCTGATCGTTAGGAAATTAACATTTCCTTATACCAAGCCTAAATTTACCTTTTTTGCAGCTTCTACCCATTCCTCCTCATTCTAAGTGCAGGGGCCTCTTCCCGAGTGGCAGCCATTTCAAGGGGACGGCATTCATGTTCCTTCGCCCCCATTTCCAGATCTCCTCTCTACCGACGAAATATCCCATTTCCTCCAATTGATCCTCATGTCACTAGACCTTAAAGGCCTCAGAAACGTGCTTGTCTCCCGGGCCCCGGTTAGGAAACCCTGTGCTGTGAGTCCCCTTTTACTGCCTAGTGAGCAAATATTATATTTTGAAATCAGTACTTCCCAAATTTGTCTCCGTTATCAAAGGTTTGAGTTTTTTGTGTAAGTACTACAGATGAACATAATAAATACAAATCAGCATATTATATGCAATAGAAGTTGAAGTAACTTACAGCAAGCATCAAATGTTTTACTTCTGGTGTCCAAAAAAAAAAAACAACTAGGGACTGGGGTATACATGCTCAAGGAACTTATAAGAAATCTAGATGAGGAAATGAAAACCATTTCTTAAACTAGTTTTGTTTTTAATAAATATTGCTGGAAACTATTTCCATGACTGCTTTTCTTATGTCTTTTCCACTTTGTTCAGGAAACTCAAAGAATGGGGGGATGCTGTCAAGGAATATATGCTGATTTATTTTATCATGTCCCTTTTTTCTGAAATCAACTATTTTCTGCTACTGTAATTTTTTACGAAAAAATTCTGCATTTCTTATCTCTATTGCCATGCCACAGTGCCATTATTCTGTGTGGCTCAAACATGTACTATAATGTGTGTGTTTTTTTTTAAAATTTTCTTGATATGTGGACCAAAAAAAATTTGTTACATTGTTTATAATAGAGAACTTTTCCATAACCAGGTAAATGTTTGTAGAGTTAATAAGACATCCTTACTCTAGGTAGCTGGAGCTTAGAAATATTTTCATTATCCTTTTTCCGTTATGCTAGTGTTTTAATGTGGTGGTGTATGTAGAAAGAGCACTGACTTTGAAGTCAAGGAACCTAGATTCAGATTCTAACTGATGGTTACAGTCTTGTAGGGCTTACGCGGATGTCAACTTTCCTACACTTCAGTTTCCTCATTTGTAAAATGAAGTGCTTGAATTAGATGGTTTTTGAGGTCGCTTCCAGTTCCAGATCTAACTTATGTTCAATGAAGATATGCTTTAAAAAAAAAAGTGAAAATTAAAACTGGGTAACAGGTGTTGAAGAAAACCTAAGAAGAAAGCTTACATCAAGAAAACTTTGAAATACAAAACCCAAGCAATGGAATGGAGGAGTAGTGGTTGATTTCAAATAAAAAATAAATTTATTTTTCAGGTACTTAAGTAGCCAATTTAAAGAACATTATTTCATTTCATTTAGTAATTTCCCTAGGGCCTCACCCTCCCCCCAAAAAACTGTCAGGATCAGTCTTTGACTTGACCCCACTGCCCTACTCCAAACAGGTGAGCCTACTTTGCCATTTCTCTAATGAGGCTCACCTACCGTCACCTGTAGGCCTTTGCATTGACTCCTACCCCAGTAGGATTCAAGATCTTGTTTGTTAATGTTACCTATTCACTTGCTTGATTTCTCTGACTGTACTTTGACTATTTGTCCCATGACTTCAAACTGCTGGCCTAGATTCTGATCCCCAGTTTCTGGACAACTCTCTAGGCCTTACCTTTCATTCACAGTTTTTTCTTGGCCCCTCCAGTTTGGACTTACTGCTCCCATTCATTGCTGCCCATTCTCTCAATGTGAGGAAAATGAGTTGAAATGCGTTCAATTACATACTATATTGGTCTGAGGGTAAATATAAATATGCAAGAAGCAACCGAATCGAACATGTGAGTTCACTTTCTTCTGGTGCTATAATAGATGTATGTATTGTGATAGATGCTACTGAATAGTTTCAGGTTATCCAAATTGTCTTTTTAAAAATTAATTTGTTACATTTTGAGTTCTGAGTTGCCTCACTTCCTTCTTTCCAATTCCGCATTAGAGAAGACCAGCATTTGATATAGCTATTATTATGTGGAACCGTACAATATATAATTCTATATGGAGGTGGATAGCATTTTCCTTCATAAGTCCTTTGGAGAATACTTTGAATGATCCTATTTATCAGAATAGGTTAGTTATTCACAGTTATTCTTTGAACAATATTGCTATTACTGTATACAGCATTCTCTTGGTTCTGCTTATTTCACTCTGCATTATTTCATGCAAGTCTTTCCATATTTTTCTAAAACCAACCTGCTTGTCATTTCTTACGGCACTGTAGTATTCTATCACAATTGTATACCACAACTTAATTCAGCCATTTCCCAATTGGTGGGCATCCCCTCAATTTCCAATTCTGCCTCCACAGAGAGAGCTGCTATAAATATTAGAACATACAGGTTCTTTTCCTTTTCTTCTCATCACCTTGGGAAATAGGCCTAATAGTGGTATTGCTGGGTCAAAGGGTATACATAATTTTGTGACTCTTTGAACATAATTCCAAATTGCTCTCCAAAATGGTTGGATTAGTTCATAGTTCTATGAACAGCAAATTAGTGTCCTAATGTTTCCACATTCCCTCCAGGATTTGTTATTTCCCCCTGCTATCATTTTAGCCAATCTGATAGGTGTGAGATAGTATGTCAGAGTTGTTTTAATTTGCGTTTCTCTAATCGGTAATGATGTAAAGCATTTTTTCACATTACTATACGTAGCTTTCATTTCTTCTTCCAAAAACTGCCTGTTTATATCTGTTGATGTTTATAAATTGGGAAATTATTCATTTTTATAAATTAGACTCATTTCTCTATATATTTGAAACAGGAGGCCTTTATCCGAGAAACTGACTATAAAAAGTTTTACCTCATTTTCTGCTTTCCTTCTGATCTTGGCTATGTTGGCTTTATTTGTACAAAAACTTTTAATTTAATCAAAATGATCCAGTTTACCTCCCATGACACTCTTTATCTCTTGTTTATTCATAAATTCTTCTCTTGTTTATGAATCTCAAAGGTAATATGTTCTATGCTCCTCCAATTTACTTATATTTCCTTTTATGTCTGGATCATGTAACCATTTTGACTTTATCTGGTAAATGGTGTAAGATTTTGTCTATGCCTAGTTTTTGTGAGACTGCTTTCTAATTTTCCTAGCAAATAGTAAGATCTTATCCAAAAAGCTTACTATAATCATAATACCTACTCCATTCTACTGAAACGTCATTCTATTTCTTAGCCAGTGCCAGATAGTTTTGATAATTACTGTCTTTCACTACAGTTTAATATCTGGTACTGCTAGACCTTTTTACTTTTTTCCCCATTAATTCTTGAAATTTTGTTCTTCCAAATAAATTTTATTATTTTTTCTAGCTTAATAAAACAGTTTTTGGTGGTTTAATTGGAATGGCACTGAAAAAGTAGATTAGTTTAAGTAGAATCATCACTTTTATTATGTTGACTACCCATGGACAATTAATATTTCTCTGATTATTTAAATCTGACTTTGTTTGCATAAAAATGTTTTATAATTATGTTCATGTAATTCCTGGGTTTGTCTTGGTAGGTATACTCACAAGTATTTTTTATTGTCTACAGTTATTTTAAATGAAAGCTCTCTGACTTGCAGGGCTTTGTTGGTTCTATATAGAAATGATGATTTATATGGATTTATTTTATATCCTACAACTTTGCTAAAATTCTTCATTCTTTCGACTGACTTATAAGTTGAATCTCTAGGATTTTGCAAGTATAGCATCATATTGTTTACAAAAAGAGATATCTTTATTTCTTCATTGCCCATTCTGATTCCTTCAATTTCTTTTTCTTCTTTTATTGCTATTACTAGCATTTCTAGTACAGTATTGAATAACAATGATGGTAATAGCCATCTTTGTTTCACTCTTGATCTTATTGGGAAAGCTTCTAGCATATCCCTATTACAGATAATGCTTGCTCATGATTTGGGGTAGATGCTTCTTGTTTTAAGGAATAATATGTTTAAGCCTGTGCTTTCAGGTGTTTTATGTTAATTTGTGTTAATAGTTTTCCATATATTGAGTCAGCCCTGCATTCCAGGTGTAAATCCCAATTGGTCACAATATATGATCTTTGTGATATATTGCTGTAGTATTTTATTCAGCTCCCTAGTGTTTTATTTAGGATTTTTGCATCAATATTCATTACTGAATTTGATCTTTTTCTGTTTTTGCTCTTACTGGTTTGGGTATCAGCACCATATGTGTTTTATAAGAGCAGTTTAGTAGGATTCCTTCTTTACCTATTATTCCATATAATTTATTTAATATTGGAATTAGTTGATCTTTAAATGTTTGATAGGATTCACTTGTGAATCCATCTGTTCCTGATGCTTTTTTCTTAGAAGATCGTTTATGGCCTGGGATCTGTTCAATTTCTTTTTCTAAAATAGGTTGATTTAAATATTCTTTTTCCTTTTCTGTTAATCTGGGCAGTTTATATTTTTGTAAGTATTCT